TGCAGTGTGCGGATGTAACTACTAAGGTATAAGACAAATTGGCACCCCCCCAAATGTAAGTAAACAACATCAAACTCGATTTGTAATGCAGAACAGTTTATTCACATTATAACACAAAATTCCGATTCCCTCGAAGCACTTCAGACTCGGAAAGAATCATCGGACTGTGCAGCGCCTAGTTGTTGGTTTCTTCAGAGCCCATTTACACAAGTAGCAACTTGCTCAGTTTTCATGGGGCCTTGTTTTTAGAACCTTCTTGTTACCAGATGTGAAGCCCACAAACTTTTTGCTATAATTTCCCCAGCCTCTTAAAAAGACTATGTCGTCAGATTAACAAAACTTTGCTGGAAAAGTCGGAGAATTCTGAAGAGACAACATGGCGCGGTCAATAGGGCACCCTTGATGGTCCAGCCGTCCCACGAGCGGGTCCCTGGCATTGCCTCCTTGTGGTCCTGCTGGATCTTGGCCCTGGCCATCTTCTCCAGGACGCTCCGTACTTGCTGGCCCATGAACCCAGCGAGGACCTGCACACGGTACTTGACATTAGCACCAAAGCTGATTGTCAGCTGCAGTCACCTCACTCGTTCAAATTGTTAAAGATGTTGCCTTGAAGATTTCACAGAAAAGGTGCTGCGCCTTTAGCTTTACATACAAGGCACCTATGCCAAAACGTCTAACTGGGACCGGTTGGCATCTCGACTGGTTACAACTGGAACTAACTGGTCCCAAGTTGGAATTGGCTGTTATCAATAGGAGTGCTACTGGGACTAGCTGAGGGGTCAACTGGCTTGACTATGCCCAGATGGGGAACGGGTAGGGGTAACTGGGACCAGTTAAGGAGTTAACTGGTTGGAGGGATTCCCAGGGGAAGTTTCAATTGTTTTCCCATTCCCTGTTAGGGTTCACATGCCATGTCCATTTCGACAAGATGGGGGTGTATTGATCTTTGCTAGTGAAGGAAAAAAAAACTTAAATATATAGATTTACAGAAATGGATAAACCTTTAATTACTAGGTATACATTTATGTATTTAAAAAAATATGTCAAATTTTAATGTACATATCCTTTTATAAATTGCAATATAATTAGTGGCATAAAAAATATTTACTTAAATCAACATTTATGTACATGTATAAAAATGTATTAAACATTGAAGCAAAGACCTACTCCCTTTTTTTTTAAATCGGACCCAGCAGGCCGTTGTGACACGCATGCGGATTAGTTTTGAGCGTTGTCGACAGATGGCACATGTGACGCAGTGAAAAACCACCAATCATGATTTTTAACGATGATGAAGTTGAGAGGCTGAAGGTACAGAATATTACAGTTGAGAAAGCTAGTAAATACAAGTACCTAGGAGTATGGATATGTGATGGTGCAGAATATCTCAGTGAGCATGAAAAGTATATAATAGGTAAGGGCAACAGAAATGCAGCTGTAATGAAAAATAGAGCACTTTGAAATTACAACAGGTATGAGGTGGTGAGAGAGATTTGGAAAGGGGTCATGGTGCCTGGCTTGACTTTTGGAAATGCAGTGCTATGCGTGAAATCCGAAGTGCATGCGAGACTAGAAATAAAACAGTGCAGAGTAGGTAGGCTGGCTTTGGGGACACATTGCAAAACACCAAACCAGGCAGCTAGTACAAGGAGACATGGGATGGGCGTCATTTGAGAGCAGGGAAGCGGTGAGCAAGATAGAATTTGAGGATTGGTTGAGGCAAATGGATGGGTGGCAATGGGCACAAAAGGTTTTCAGCTATTTATACATGAGAAGCGTAGATACAAACTGGAGACAGTGCACTAGGGAGTTAGGAGGACAGTTTTTAAGGCTATAGTGGACTTAGGAAGAGCAGGTGTCAGTTAAGGCCACAGAAAGAGATTGGTGGCTAGAGAGAATGCAGACAAAGACGGCTCTGGAAAACTATAAATTAAACAAAACAGTTATTGCCAAAGAAAGCATTTACGACCATTCTAGGGGAAGCTCATTGTTGTTTGAGGCGAGGACGGGTGTACTGCAAACCAGAACACACAGAGCGAAGTACCAGGAAATGGATACAGTGTGCACTGCTTGTGGAGAGGAGGACGAGAAGGCTGAGCACTTGATACTTGATACGAAGAGAACATAGATTTAATAAAGTCATTGGGTTTTAGAAACAGCGAAGGAACAGTGGATTTCAAGACAGTAGAGATTACCAAGCAAATATTAAGTGAATGGTGGCAGAAGGCGAGAGAAAACTAGGTATTTTCTTATTAACTGATGGCAAGGGTGTTTTATAGCCTCACTTTCTTTGCAGTGCGGAGTGAATATAGCTTTCACCTTTAAATATTCTAAGCTTAAATGGTAAAACAGAATGGCTAGGTGGCGTAAGCTACCGCCCGATCCAAAGGGCTCAGCCGGATTCATCCATCCGTCCATCCAGTGGTCGGTAGAGAAGGGAAACGATCGCCAAAGTTGGTGTATTGCACTGATCTCTATGTCTATTTGCTGGATCGCGTTTGACCAGCTCCTCCTATGGACCGGAATGCGGTCACTGGCGGCCATCTTTAGGTAGAGTTATATCATCTCTAGCCATCATAGTAATATGGCGGACAGCGCAATGGCGGCAGGCTGCCATAAAATAGCCGTAGATCTAGTACACTGTACCGTGGGTGACATTTCGTGCTTGATTGAAGTTGTTCGACGAAGCAGATTCTTGAAACCCGGCGTGAACGGTAGCCTCATCTTTGAGGACCCGGCAAAAGTTCTACGAAAGCGCAGCACCGGGGGAAAACCAGCGCAGCTCGCATCAAAAGCAGACTCCGTACCGTCGTCTGCAGTCGTCTGCTTTCGATGCTTCTTTCGATGCGACTTTTGATACGTGCTGTGCTGCTTTTCTCCCGGTGCTGCAATTTTGTGAAACTTTTACCAGGTCCTCAAAACCCGGACTACTGTTCACGTTGGGTTTCAAAAACATGTTTCGTCAAATAATTTTAATCAAGCAAGCAATATCACCCACGCTATTTTGACCGCAGCCTGCCAACCCACCTGCCAAAACGCTATCTGCCATGGATGGATGATAGCGGCTGCAGCAGCTTACATTGGCTAGAGGTGATATAACTCTACCTAAAGATGGCCGCCAGTGACCGCATTCGCGGAGCGGGCAAACGCGATCCAGCAATTGTCATAGAGATCAGTGGTGTATTGATAAACGTGTCGTTATGAAAATGTCAAAACCATATCTGCGCTTCTTGCGACCCAACGGTAAACTTCGAGGGCAGAAAGATGCAGTTCAACGACCGGAGGGCAGCCAGGGAGAAACCAGACGGAAGAGAAAACAGCCGCGGAGAGCACAATGGTAAAAATGGCGGAAAGTCTACCCGAACTGGCAGCTGTTGTGACACAAGCAATTGGAATTGTTTGATTGTAAGGTGGGAGCGCAACAGCATCCTATCAGGACTTCACCTGCGCAACGCGGAAACACGGGTGAGCACCTTTCTTCACGCGATGGAGAGAAGCTAGGGACGTCGTCACGGATGCTGACAGACGCCAGCGGCTAATCTTTCACCTCGCACAAATACTCGCTCTGAAAGGGCGATTCAATCGTCGCAATTAGCTAACGAGGCAACTGAAGCGGTCCTTAGAGCTACGCTGTGCTTCCTTCAATCCGGAAACGTGAACGTCACCGAACTTATTTATTTTCATTCTCGGTTTTTGACAATAAAGACTGGTCAACCTTCCAAGTTGTGCCGTGTTTCGTTGCTGGAGTTGGCACCGTTCTGTCAACCAGTTGAACCCAACCAGTAATTTAGCTCGCCACGTGCGCAGGTCAATTTTCAGTTCCCCTTTTTACGGTGAGCCTTGCAATCGTAGCCGCCTTATATTCGCGCTCTTTAGTGCAGCGACATAACGCACGTGTGCATACCTTGTTGCCGATCCGGTTTGGGTGGACGCCGTCGCGGTGGATCCACTGGTGCCACTCGTCAGCTAGCCCGACAAGGAACGTGAACCCTTCCCTGCGACACAACTCTCGCAGCAGCGAGTTCACCTCTCGGTAACGGTCATTCGAAGCCTCGATCTCTGCAGCGTGACTACGCTGCCATTCCAATGAGCAGAACCTATTCTCCCGTCTCGGAAGAACGGCAGAAAAGGCGATCTGCATCATTGGATTGCGTTCACAGATCTGGGCAGCTAGACGACGATATTTGTCGATGTACACGCTGGCACTAATATGGGAATTATTAGTGCCAACGTGTAGGATGACAACATCAAAATCGGGTAGCTTCTCAGACACCTGGGAAAACAAGTGCTCGATTCTAATACCACTAAACGGCGCAACCTCAACAGCCAACCGACTATTCAATGGCAAGTACTTCACCATCGAATCGCCGGCTACCAAAACTCGAGGCACGTTGGGGGTGCGATCAAAGCTAAAATACAAAGAGTAGCACAAGATACGGAAAAATGTATTGCTAAAAAGAACAAGACAATGCTAAACAAAACGCTTCAAAGAGTGCGAAAAATCAGTCAAAATAGCTTGCGTGACCGGAGCCGACAGCAGCGCGGCCAGGACCCGACCACAGGAGACTACAGCGGCAGACGCACATGGTCGGCCACGTGTCATAATAAAGGCAACATCCGGGGCCGGGGATGATACGTTACTTCCGGCGTCGAAGGAGTGATTTCCACACGGCCGTCTTTCCCCCGACGCGACTACGTCACTTCCGGCGTCGGAGGAACGATTTGCACACAGGTCCCACTCCTCCGACGCCCGTCGGAGGAAGCACTTCCACATTTCAGACGCAGCTAAAAAAAATATTTTCCGCCGTCAATATTGCTCTAAAAACTTTTTTTTTTCGGCGTAAAATTAATTTTTTGACACTCGTGTCCCAACCAAACTTAAAAGTAAAAAAACCTTTTTTTTTTTTTTTCAACTAATGTATCTTACGATAGATGGCGCAAGCTTTTTCCCCATCTTAGAAAAATTGTTGCTGCTTCTCCACTTATGAACATTACTTGTTTCCAATCTCGCTGTCATCTGTTGCGCCCGTTGCGCCCTGTGGTTGCGCCATCCCAGTGCGCCATCCGAGTAAGTCCAAAGGTACGTACGAGAAAAAGGTCCGAGCGCACAGATATGAGCGATTAGCTGCCCCAGAAACAATTGCGCGCTGTGAACCCAGAAGCGGGTGTGCGCTGAACAGCGCCGAGCTGAACTGCCACCAGATCCTTTCTGACAGAAAGGCAGGTAGGTACAGTTCCAGTGCTATTTATGCAAATTACTCCAACACGTGTATTCCAGCGTGCTCGACGACGTGCCAAGTTTAACAGCCTTTAACTGTATAAAAATCTCAGGGCACTCACGAGGACGCCAGTACAAAAATCTCGGGGCGCTCACGAGGACTCCAGTGAGCAGTGACGGCAGAATTTGAGCGCTTGTGACTCTGCATCAATAAAATAAGCCACAACTGCCAGATACACGCCGCATTTTTTTTTCCCCATTTCCGAATTTTATGTTTGCGCCGTTTTGCGTGGACACCATCAGTGGGCTTCACCTTATTTAAAACTAAATCAAACTTCTTTTAAAATCCACAATTTAGTGTATAGTACAACTTGAGCGGATACATACTTCTAATCACATCATATTTAAATAAACTAGCCAACATATATGCAACAAAAAAAAAACCAACCAGAATACACAAACTTTGCTTTATTTTATTGCTGGCCGAGCATCTGGAACCACCAATCTCCAGTGCAGATCTAGCCAAACGGCTGCTGTATGTCGTCCGCACTCTCCTTGCAGGTTGCACCGTGCAATGTATGTCCAGCCAAACGAGCAGCCAAAGAACCAGCCCAACTACAATATGGGTGGAGGTAGTCAGATCGACGCCGTTCCTATCCCACACTGGAAGAGACCCGAATTCCTGGCAGAACTACGGAACCGTACGGAGCACAACAACCAGCAGCAGAGGGATGAGCCTCCACCCAGCCCCATCCAAAAGTCTCCCAGCCAAGATGCGCCGTCGACTGCACGATGCGAGCCAATCCGAGGTACTCCTGCCACGCCGTCTGTGCCATCAACCGCACCATCGGAGTCTTCCCCTCGAGGCACTCAGAAATGCACGCTGATGCGGTAGCCACTACTTCTATCGCGTGCACCACAGAAACTGGCTGGACCAGTCATGCGGGACTGCGCCAAGACCAGTACGGTGGCTGTGGGAGGCGACCGAAAAGACTGGACGACTTGCAGGCCCAACAAGTTGCGGCGAGCAGAAGTAGAGGCAGCCAGGGAGACTGTCGTTTTGTCTTGACGCCGGGTAGAGGGGGCCACTGTTGTTGATACTGTGGACAGCCTTCCACCTGCAAATGTCTTTCATTAGGCTTACATAACCAAAGACTGCCTCTCGGATGGTAACTGCCATCCGAGACAAGTGGCTTGTTGTGAAGTGCCTGGCACTAGATGCCGAAGATTGTGCTTACTAAGCCCATATCTAGACTACAACGAAAATAGGCCCAGTAATGATGTATCTCGGATGGACAAGTGGTAAACTTAGGTGGAATAATGCAACAGGTTCACGATAGTAATGACATACCATTAAGTCGCAGAAGTGCAATGTTAAAAAGCATGGGTTCAGCTATAAGCCGTTTTCATATGCTCTAAAGGAATACATCTGTGAGTGCACGATAGTTGTTCTACATAATTTAAAGCTAATTGGGCCAGAACAGTTTTGTTATTAAAAAGAATGGCTCGCCCCCTTCCCACACACACACACAAAAGTCAAATTTGACAATTGTGTTTAGCAAGCACAAGGTTGAGATCCTCCAATACGAAGGGGTTAGCCCTAAATCCCGAGAAATCTAGCCTGGGGTCTTCAATACGCACCATGCAGTAGTAATACAGAACGGCATGCCTGTACAGTACTCATCCATATCGAAACGGGCAGGGGTGGGGATTGAACCCGGGATATCTGGGTTCTGTAGCGCAAGCTTTAGCCCCACAAGCTGTGGTGCGCTGACACACTTAAACACCAAAAAAAAAATCAGATTTTTTTTTTTAATTTTCTGTCTGGATAAGTTACATCACACACTGCACTTTCCTCCCCCCCCCTCTCTCCCCCCAAAATAAACAAGATAATGCAATATTTACCTAGCCAAATACATTTTAGTTCTAAGCAACACTGTCTGCTTGCGTGCACCGGCTCGCAATAAGAGCTAGTGTACTGGCACTTGCTTCCATTTTGAGTTCAACATCATAGTAATGTCAAAATAGGAGCCACATTCTAGGGCCTCCTTTTGACAGGTAGGAGTGCAGAGTAGAGGTGCGTCTATTCACACGTGCTCTCCTTTGCACGCTGTAATAAGGCACGCCAAAAAAGAGTGGAGATGACTCGGTTGCATGGCTCTGCTGAACTGCACCTGGCAGCGTAAATATTGGGTTAGCTTTCTTCCCCCGGGAAAATGAGTTTTATTGTATTTGCTCTATCCAGGAAGTCTAAAAAAAGAAAAGAAGCTTTTTAAGTGTGCAGGGTCCCTTGTAGTGTATTCGCACGAGAGATGTATCTCCGCGGTGAAAACTTGAAAAACCGGCTACGTCACAAGCCTGCGAGGAGGATAAGCCGCGACAGAGGGGATGACTCGGAGATAACTGGGCTAGTATTTGGCTCGTTTGTCGCCATTTCTATCCAGACGAGGCGACAGGTATTCTGTGAGCCGCCGACAGGCCCTCTGCAGTTATCCACGGGTGGGGGCAAACAGTGGCGCGAGTCACGTGACCTCCAAACTCGATGACGTATGCCCACTTCCAAGACTGCTCCGCGAGAAAAACTCTGTCGTGCGAATACACCATAAAGGGAAGAGGCTTCTGCACCTCGCATGGAAAGGGGTAGACAAAGGGAGTGGGGGCTGGATATAGTGAGATTGAGTTAGCATTACCCAAAGCATGCGTTGTCACAATGTCTCTTCTAACGCATTGCCATATCTTCTATGCAACCTGGCGTTATGCAATTCTTCGTGCTGCTGGGCCCCTGTCTATTGATGTCTTATGGCGCAACAAAAGAGCTTCAAGCTGAGCTTGCAAACTAGAACTATGAAAAACTGGTTACTCATTTTTTGTTTACTGGTTGGTAAATGGGCCAATTTCTCGATTGCTGAACTGTTGCTGGTTCCTTTACAACCGAGCCTCTGCTGGGTGTGGTTTTACGAGATGTTGATTGCTCAAACCGATTCATTGTACCATCGTTTAGAATGCAGCAATGAAATACATAGACGCAAATAAAGTTGTTTTTAAACTAATGCGACTTTTCGTGCGTCTGTCAATGCCCGTGCAAAGACAGCGGTGTATAATTGTGAACAGTTGTGCCTATGCAAGCTCTGAAAACTTACTTTTTCTTCACGCTCTAAATTCAAACCATCTCCAATTTCAAATTAGCTGTTGAGAAAGCGGCAAATGAAGGCGATGCCAAAGCCAACATTCAAATTTTCCCGCGCTCCCCATTGGGGTGATGCCGCACGTTTTATAACCCGTACGTCGAGTGTACAGTCTAAGAAACGCAGCATTTTGCGCAAGTTTCTTTTGTATTGCAGGCGTGAGCTTAACTGGCATTCATTTCGCACCATCAAAGTTCTTGTAAAACGTCGGGAACAAGCTGTGCTGTCCCCATATTACAACATCTGACGTCACATTTTCAGCTTTGGCAGTAGAGCCTCTCGGACGAAATTTAAATTTAAAACTTCAACAATTTTGTGAGAAAAAAGAAAAAAAATTCTTACTGTGACTTGCAATTTGGGTTACTAGTTCAGATATGCCTATTAATATGCTCAACCAATTTCAAGGCAAATCTGATTATGAAAATTTTGCCGGAGCTCTTTTTTAAATTGATTAATTCATAATGCCCGCGGCATCAAAACCACATTTTGACAATGCAAAAAAAAAAAAGAAATGTCGCACAAAAATTTTACTTTTGGCAGCGCTCTGCTAGACCGTGCCGCAGAAACAATGCTCGTCTCTGTGAACAGATTGCTGGGTAATGCTGCCCCACCTAACGCTGGGATAGAAAACTGTGTGTAACGAAAAACAGACAGAGTTATGCATTCACTCTAATATTTCTATTTCTCTTACACACAGAGTTCATATGAACTTATGCAGCAGTCCCAGCAAGGCAGCCCTTATACTGATGCACGACCAGAAAGGATCGAGCAACCAAATGACGGAGAGTGCATTTCTCGCATTCTTATGAACATTGAAAAATGCCAGACATCACATAATAAACGCCAACTTATGCCACGTCCAGTTGCAAACGTATTGTACTTATTGTACAGGGTATCACAAAAAAAAATTTACAGGGTTTTTTTTACCGGAAAAATAAACTAGGCATCGCCAAGCGCTCATTCTCCACCCAAAGGTAGCGCTAGAGGTCACAACCAGATGCCAAAGTTTCAGCCCGATCCGATAGCTTCTTCAAAAGTTATGTGATTTTCTGAAAATTTCAATAAGAAAATGGAGCCCATTTTTGCCCGTTTTCGGTTTCTGGCGCCATAGAGCCCCATGTATTTGAAAACTCCGTCGGCCGTTATTTTCCAATTGAAATTTATAGAAAATCACTTATAACTTTTGAATAAAGCATCGGATCGGGCTGAAACTTTGGCATCTGGTTGTGACCTCCAGCGCTACCTTTGGGCGGAGAATGAGCGTTCGGTGATGCCTAGTTTATTTTTGCGATAAAAAAAAACTTGTAAACTTTTTCTTGTGACACACTATACTTCAAGTACAATCAAAAAACATATTATTGATTGTACTTTATTGCAAACTGATATTGGTGCAATTTCCGAGTGGTGTGCAAAAAACGCATTTGTCGTTCAATCCAGGAAAAACTAAATTGATTTCTTTTTCAAGACAACAGGACGTTTTCTTGTTCCCTTATGTGCTTGAGGGCAATGCGATAAATTCTGTATCTCTTGTAAGAGACCTTGGCTTTTACATTGATAGTACTCTCTCATTTACCGCGCATGTATCCAAGATCGTTGGTTCAGCGATAAGAAAGCTGGGTATGATCACTTGGTTATCACATTCTTTCACTTCACTATCATCTGTGGTGCGACGGTACTGCAGCCTCGTGTGAAAGAAATTAATTCGAATTATTTAAGATACATTGGTCGGAAACTGTTGTTTACTTATGATTCGTTGCTATCATTATTTAGGCTGGAAAGATTATCAACGAGGAGGGCTATTAGAGACATCCATTTTCTCCATAAGGTAGTGTATGGCACTGTTAAAACTGAAAGCTTACTTGTGAGTATAGACTTTCATGTGCCCACAAGAGCTAGTTGCAATTTTTTTAACATTTTGCCCCAATAGAATTTGTGAATCGTCACCGTTACCTCGTATGCAGTCTGCTTTTAATAACATAGGCAATAGTGAGTTCAATATTTGTTTTTGATTTTGCTAAATTTAAACCAGCCTCACAAAAGTGAATTACATCTGACTCAAAGTTTGTGTAGGAGTTGTATTTGCCTCGCAAACTCGTATCCGTGTCCTTTCACATGTTTCTGTACATTTTAAATAGTGTTGCTATAAACACAAACCGACAGTGCATCACACAAAAGACTGCACAGCTGTTTGTGGGCACTAAGGAAAAATAAAGCATTATTATTATTATTATTATTATATTTAAATTGCAAGTTCAATATAATAAAATGAAAGACATTTACAAATCTCTAATGCGAATTTAGAGCACAGCTCTTAAGGAGGAAGGGAGGGTATGGATGGAAGGTATGCGCCTCCTTCTGCTCCGTACCCTCTCTTCCTCCTCCTTCAAATCAGTTTCCCCGCTAAATTTAGCAGGGAAAATGACGGGACATGACTTGGTGTCATGCCACCCATGAACAAATTCAGTTTCTCCGCTAGATTTAGCAGGAAAGTTGACGTCACGTAACCTCAACACCAATTCAATTCCCTGCTAAATTTAGCCGGGAATTGAATTGGTGTTGAGGTCACGTGACGTCAATTTTCCTGCTAAATCTAGCGGAGAAACTGAATTTGTCCGCTAAATCTAGTGGAGAAACTGAATTTCCCTGCTAAATTTAGCGGGGAATGCAGTTGGTGTTGAGGTAACGTGACGTCAATTTTCCCGCTAAACTCGGCGCAATTACGCCAACACTGACGGTGACGCCGATGCTGCTCAACCAGGAAACGGGTGCCTAAAAACTGTGCTCTAAAAATAAAAAAATTAAAAAGTTAGAGACTGCACATTACAGAATTGCTAACACAACAGGTAAGAAAATTGTTCTCATTATGTTCTTGGACCTTGTACACAGGCAGGTAAGACTGTGTGACTGTACCAGTTACGCACAATTAGAACAGAAGACAACTGCACAAAAAAACCAAAAAAAACTCACACTTCGCTAAGAAAAGAAAAAGCACACTAGACACAAGCATTTAAACAGTGTGAGCTTCGTCTGCCATAGTACAGCGATGCCGGTTCATGCTGTACACAAGCAATCTAGCCAGTGCAGCACAACTGCAAGGACATGCATCAAGCAGCGCCAATCGCGTGCCAGTATGGCGCACATTCAGATCAAAATGGGCAGGGACGCAGATCAAATTCAGGCTCCCCGGGTTCCACAGCGCAATCTTCCGCGGCAAGCTCGCGCACCTGTGCAGCCAAGGCGTCCAGCAGCCCCATCTGCGCCTTGACCTTTGCCAGCGCCTGGGAGCAGGTCTCCAGCTCGTCCCTGAGGTGCCGCACACTGCACAGGTCCCTGCCCAGCTGCAGGTCCTGAGGCCGCTGGCGCAGGTGGTGCCACAGGTGGCACAGAGACCCCTCCAGGTGCACCAGGTGCTGGCTCACGTTGGACACCAGGGAAACTGCGGCAGGGCACCTGATATGGCGGCGATGCGAAGCAGGGGAGGAGCAGAAAGAAGGCATTTTTAAACAGTTCTTGTTTCTCAACTACAGTAGTATTCCGACATTTCACTACTGTAGAATTCCGTGCAAGCACCCGCCCGAAATTTGGAGACATCCTATGAAATCTGGTGATGAGTGCTCGTTAGGTCCGAGAAAAAAATGCGGAAGGGGCACGCAATGGGATGGGCTTTGCTGCGTTACACCGGTGTGCACGCATCGGGCTTTACTGCCTTGCATCAGAGCACACGCGTGAAGCTTCCCTGCTATGCATCAGGACGCTCGGAGAGATGGTCGAATAGGGCAACATTTCGGTTTCCATGGTGGGTTACAGGGTTCTCCCCAGGAATTCTTGGGATCTGGACATCTGACAATTTCCAGGGTGTTGTGGGTAGGAGGAGGGGGCAACTGCTGCAACTTTTGCTGTTTCCGGCACTTCGCTTGCCGCACAGCAGGAATTTTGTTTGCCAGGATTATGCAGTTCTGTTGCATAGTGCCACACAAGTCTGCCAAACACAACAATCTGGGGCGTTGTACTTTTTCAAATTCAGTTCAGTTTCAGTTCAGTTTATTGTACCTCAAAGGCATTTCAGATGAAATGCATTACATGAGGGGGGATCAAATGACATATACAGATGGCAAAAGAGTGACGACATATAACTAATAAAAAAACGCAAGAACAAAAAAAAACAAAAAACTATAAACTAATAGGACAGATATCAGAACATAACATGTAGAAAAAGTAATTAACAGATAAACATGTTAAGGATCAACGCTTTTCAGGTGTGCCTTGCAGAGTTCACGGAATGTCTTAGGGTTAGATTCACATACTATGGATTCAGGAAGGGAATTCCAGTTAGTAATAGCGAGAGAAAGTGGGGAATTTTGGAATTTATTAGTTCTGGCGAATAGAGGTTTAATTTTTAGGCTGTGGTCATGACGCAAGGAGATGTGAGGTGATGGGTGGCAGTTGGTGTTTCGAAAATCAGAAGAGGAATAGTAAGTTTTGTGAAAAAGGACAAGACGAGCAAGTCGAGTTCTTCGAGATAGAGGGCATAGGTCGAAGTTGAATTTTAGTGCAGTTACGCTTCACGTTCGCGAGTAGTCATGTGTTATACAACGTGAGGCCTTGCTTTGCACCGATTCGAGTTTAGTAATGAGATATGATTGATGAGGCCACCAAATAAAGTTGGCGTAGTCCAATTTTGATCGCAAGGAAGTCTTATAGGCAGTTAGTTTAACACAACGGGGAGTGGGGTATAGGTTACGTTTTATGTATCCTAGAGATCTGCATGCACTAGCCACTATATTGTCAATATGAGTATTCCAAGTTAGGTCGTCAGAAAATGTTACGCCTAAATATTTGTAAGTTGGTACTTTTTCGAGAGGCAG